GCTATATGGGGCAGAATTATGGGGAATGAAACAACCACAGTGTATAGAAATTGTACACAATTATGCCTGTAAAAGAGTCGTACAAACAAATGCATGTAATGATGCAATATTAGGTGATTTAGGCAGATTCCCAATGCATATTTATTCAGCAAAACGATGTATTAAGTATTGGTTACGTTTGCTTGATTTACCAAGAAATAGGTATGTAAAACTTTGCTATGAAATGCTTGTTCATTATGATAGTGTAGGGCACACAAATTGGGCAACAGATGTAAAAAACAATCTTTATTCAAATGGGTTTGGATATGCATGGGAACAACAAAAAGTAATGAATAAAAAACTTTTTGAAAAGCAATATGTTCAAAGGTTTAAAGATCAGTATATTCAAAATTGGACTGCTCGGTGCCGATCTAGTAGTAAATTATATAGTTATATACATTTTAAACAAAATTATAATCTAGAAAAATATATTGCAATACTTAATGTTGAAAAGTTTAGATCTAGTATGGCTAAATTTCGTAGTTCATGTCATAATTTAATGATTGAACAGGGTAGACATAAGAATATTCCAAGAGACTTCCGTTTCTGTCCTTATTGTGAAACCGTTATCGAGGATGAGTTTCATTTTGTTCTTATATGTCCTCTTTATTCTGAAATCAGGGGAAAATTCATACCATCAATGTTTATTAATAATCCTACTTTGGATACATATTACAGGCTAATGTCATGTGACAGTACAAATGTTATAAGAAACTTAGCCATGTTTATTAATTACTCTTTTAAAAAAAGAGAAGACTTTCTGTCAGTGTTTTGATTTTCCATTTGGTTTATCATGTTCTCTCATTGCAGGTTGTTTTTTGTTTTTTTTTGTTTTTTTTTGAGAATGAAGGCTTATGTATTTCTTATATTCTATGGAGGCGTACACATGTTTATTAGATATTATACATTATAAGCAAAGTTCGATTCTGTTTAAGTATCAAGCATTATTAAATAACAGATGATATTGTAAGCCTATTGAGAGGAATTTATGTGTTTTTATATCAATATACATTATGTTAGATTGGTATTATAAACTGAAATTTGTCATTGTTAATCCTCGACTTCATGCTTCATATTTAGATGTAAATTATAATGTTGTATATATATATGTGTATGGGCCGGAGGCCTGATTATGCAAATAAAAAAATAAATAAATTCAATGTAAATGAAGATCATATTGTAGTTAAGACACGTCATTGCAATTATTTTAACTCACTGGAATGCTATTGGTGAATTAGTTAGCCAATTTGGTACTTGTCTGAACTGGTAACAGTTACAAGTATGGCCTCCTGTAACAAATACCGTTTTGCGGAACTAATGCTATTTGCCAAAATGAACCGTTGAAAATCTAAGGTACTAAATATTTCGATATTTAGTCATCAACGGCCAACGTTAAAAAAATTTCTGTTTCTAACGACCTCAAATGACCCCATTCCGGATCAGGATTTATTGCACACATTGTTTTAAATTATGTATGCAGATAGGATAGGAAATTGTTAAAACCTAAATTTTTAGCGCCTAGTTTGTTCTGTTAGATTCAAACCAATAAATCTGAAATGCTTGATTTATCCCACCCCAAAACCTGTAGGTGCTTCCGAATATCTTTAAAAAATAACATAGCATCAAGTCGACGCAAATCATCCCGATAAGCAAGTGATGTGTAAATTAGATTTTCAAGAATAAAATAGCGTTCATGTTCATTGCTTGTAAATCTAAATGAATACATGCTTAGCAGATGAACACGCTGGACGAATACCATACCATTACTAAAAAGGGTCAGATATCAGTTTCAACACTTGCCAAGTAAGTTTCAAATATGTTTTTAGTCATTACAGTATAAATATACATGTAGTACGGGAAAAAGAATATGCAATGAGTCTGTTTTCGAAGGGATTTTCTTATGTAATTTAGGAATTTAAAAATAAATGATCAAATTTGAATTATTTTTCACCAATTTTTCACTAATAGGGACTTTAAGACTAGAAACATTAGAGCATATATTTTTAACAATGTCTTTTTCAGATGCAGCAGATTCAGTAAGGTACAAGTTCTGTTACAAAACGTTCATGTAATTTATGCACATACAGCAATTTTATTATAAGCCGCATTGTCTCCTTATACCGAAACAGATTTAGGGTTAAAATGCTTAACTATCCTTTTTTCAAATGTTTTAAAGTAAGTAAGGTTGAAGTTTTTATATTCGGCGTGAATCATTTGCCGAAACGGTCATAATTAAGACTACATTTGATTTTTCACTTGTTGTGTTATGTATTTCATAATGAAATAATTTAACATTTTTGAATGACTAAAGTTACCTCTGCATAAGTGTATTTAGAATAATCATACTTGTAGTTAAAATAAACATTATAAGTCACAACATCAACAAATTTTAGTTTAATAAATTGCTGCATTTGTCAGATACATGCCAGCAACCACTTATACTAACTAATAAATGCATTAATAATTCCACTTCATTTTAGTTTATTACAAATCGAATAAAAGTGTCCATTTTGCTTTATAACATTTGGTAGTTAATTTGATCGTTTTTTATATTTCTTTATGATTCAGTAGCTACAATTGTCATGAAAAATTCACAAGACTTAACTTGAATTTATTTCTAGTTGGCCTTACTTATTTAAGTTATTTTACTTAAAAAACTTAGTGTCATCTTAAGCGACACACTTATAGCTTATTGTCACTTTTGTTACTGGTGATACGTAACTATAAGGACTAAGAATATATTTTCTATTATGAAACCACAATTTGAAAAGACTTATTATACTTTCCTCTGAAAACATATGTGCCGCGCCGAGACAAAACCAACGTAATGCGTTTGAGACCAGCATGGATCCAGACCAGCATGCGCATCCGCGCAGTCTGATCAGGATCCATGCTGTTCGCTATCAGTTTTCTTACTTGTTATAGGGTCTGTAAGCAAACAGCATGGATCCTGCATGATCAGACTGCGCAGATCCGTGCGGGTCGCAAACCCATTATGTTGGTTTTGTCGTGACGCGGCTTATATGTGTTTTAAGCATATGAGTTAGAGCATACTTGTAGGTTAACATTATAAACAACATATTTTAGTTCAATGTATAGCACATTTGTTGAATGCATGCCGGTACCTACTTATACGAACACGAATTATAATGCATTGCATCATTACGCGCCAGTTTGGTTTAAAATGTCTCGAATATTAGTGTCAAATTTGATTTATAACGTCTCAAAATTATTTTAAAATAGATCTATCTTTTTAATTCTTTATTTCTCACGCTAAAAAAGTCATAAAAATCGGCCCGGCTTATCAGGGATTCGAAACAGGCAATTCCTGTCAAATAAGCTATTAACCACAAACTGCATTTTTTATATATTATGTACCTTAAACCCAATGAGCTACAAATAAATAAAATGAATTCTTGAAATTTAAGTACACCATTTTTTGATCTTTATAATAATGTCAACACATATTCTATTCACTTGAAAATCTTTGATAAAAGAGATTACTTTGATTTTAGTATAGTTAATTATTAACAATTTGATGGCTTATTGTTTTATTGTTAGTCTTCTGCCTTTTCATTTTGTCTTCTGCCTTTTAACTTTGCTCTGTCTTCCTTAAGACTTCGAGTACTTTTGTTATGGTCATTGGGTTGACTTTTATATGTTTCTCAATGAACATTTTTTTGTTTTACTTATTTCACCGTTTGTAATCATAACAACTGTTAGAATATTACTTGGCGGAGATTATTTTTGTTTAAAAGGAACATGGTGGGGCTATGAATGAGGCTTGATTCACCATTCACAGGTTTAAGCTCCCCAGCAATGCTAAGATTGCTGACCTCTCAAGTGCGGCGCCCCTCTGTCTTCCTCAATCGTATCTCTTGTATTTTTACTATTATTGTGACACCTTTGTGTCCTTTATTGTTGTCTCGTCTACGTTAAAAATCTTCCCTTTTGTCCCTAGTTTTATTTTTTTATTTTGCCATTCCCTGCCCCGACCTTCGATTCCCCTTCCTCTGCATCCCTTTACTTTGTGGGCCTATTAATCAATCAATAAATTGTCTGCTTTAATTTCTTTGTCGGTATCTATTATTTCCTATTATGTATTAGAACAGTGATTAGCTTATCTGTGTTTTGCCTTTCGATCTGTCCTGTTTTTGTTTAGGACCCTGCTGGGATCCATGCAGCTGTGTCCTGTAGGAGTTGCGTTTATTGAACGTCGCTGTTCCTTGTTGATTTTTGTTTTTCACATTTTATACTTTTTCATTTCTAGTTGGGCTTAATTATTTAAATTATTTTACTTTAGTAGAGCAGATAGTTATTTATAACTTATTATCACCGTTGTTACTGTTTATACGTAACTACATTGTATACAGAATAAGAGTATATTTTCTTTTATGAAACCTCAATTTGTTTTTTATCTTGGAGCTTGTTTTACTTAAGTTATGTAATTTTCATGTTAATTCCAGTAAGTAATATCGGGTTCAAGTTCTAAATGTAATGACATCCGAACATTCTTCTTATTGAAGTTATTTACTGAAACTGTATAGTCTATGGTCTGGTTAGATTTAAAAAATATATATTTTCAGTACATTAAACTCCTAATATTTTGGAGATCGGCATTAGCATACAGGCACATTTTTATTACTATTTGTAGTAGTAACGCAACGAAATTCTTGTCAAGCTAGTTTACGAAAGATCGGTGGTTATTCTAAGTTCCTAGCTTGAACCTTAACCAATGCTCTGGATTCAGATGTTACTCCTTCAGAGCAGATGGAACGTCGCCAGATATTATTTCCTTAACAGTGTCGATGTGACTTAAAAACAAACCGACAACATGCATTGATTTCATTTTTACAATAAAATATTTTCATTGTATATTTGTTATTATTGAAATAATGTGATAACAAAAAAGACTGAGAGTTTATCTTGTTTATTCTAGGATGTTTATACAAACATATAATGTATATATGTAAAAACATAAAATCTCGAAAAAGTGTGTCCCACTGAAGCATTAATCACTACAAAATTACAAGTAGTATGTCTTATTTTTTGTTTCAACAATTATGATAAAATGAATGCTATCTGAGAGACACGTTTAACACTTTCTGTTATTGCTCTGTTTTATACACACAATTTGGAAAACAAATGATAATTTATAACTTTATTTATAAAAAAAATAGAAAAGCTTAATATTTGGATCTTATAACGATGAACACATATTCATTTCTTTGCAAACTGTTTATATCAAAAATGAAAAGAGAATCGATCATTTCATTTATGTTTGCAAAAATATTTCATTCAGAGAAAAAATATCCCTTTGTCATTATTTATAATTTTAAAAAGTGTAATGTAAAACAAGTCCAGTTTGAAATCATTATATATGTCTATTATGATAACTTATGAATGTTAGTTAATGTATAAAATCATTTTAATTATTTATCAAAAACAGACAAACAATATTGGCATAAATTGTCAGTTTTAATATTTAAAAAAATGGAAAAAAGATGATTCCTAGGAAGCATTAAACACAACAAACTTGCATGAAAAATACAGACCCGGTTTGAATGCGGTTTGAATGAGTATATATATTTCATGACTTGATTCCAGCACTTGAAATGTTGAACATTGAGTACCGCTCACGCCGGTGCTTTGGGTGTGAGTGAAAGATGTTCCACTTTTTCACTATCCCTTATGTACAGACTCATTCAAACCGAGTCTTGACATATTTCAAAATGTAGCATGAACCGTTGCCACTAATTCTTTCTTCGTATTCATAACAAATAAGCTAATATATGAAAAATTAAAGTCAGCAGTTTGACAGAATCAAATGATTGAATTCTCATGTAAGGATCAGTTGTTAAAAGCTTTTATTTAAGCTTATATTTTATCAATGCATTTTTTAGAAACCGTTACATTCTAATGCAATTAAAACATCATTTTCCGAAGCCCTTTACTACAAATAAATGATGTAACAGATTGCACAATGTTTGATTGAATATTACAAAGTCATGTTGCATAACAATTGTAATAACAAGTGGGAATGCTTGAACTTTGAGCTTCACATACAGTGTTTATACATAACACACTGTCTAATCAGTTTTGTCAAAGGTTTAGTTTAAACATATTTTATTTATCAGAATGTCTACACATGTTTCTGTTTACAATATACACAATCTTTTCAAATATTTTTACAAAAAAGGAGTAGAATGGAAGTCAAAGTGTCTTATAAAATTCGTCTGCTTAGTGAGTAGTTGAAACATAAAAAGCGCTAAAATCATATTGAATAATCTGATAAAAATAAAATAAAAAACAAACAAAAACGAGTTGGAAAAAAAGAAAACGCAGATATGTATCTAAGTGCTTCAAGAAACAAAATATACTTTCCATCTAATATCTTTAGAATGCATACATTTGAAGCACAGAGTCGTGGAAATATACATCCATGCGTAAAACACCAATAATGCTTGTTTTTTTATGATACAAATTCAAAGAAACGTACAAATAATAGAACGCCACAAATTAAGAAGCACAAAATATTATTATAATATGAAAAAAAAAATCAAAATGCTGTACTTACAAATATTTTTCTTCTTTTATATTACATGTATAACATCAATACTTAAACAAACACTGATCTTATGTTCATTTTATGTCCTTCTTCAAATTTATAAAGCTAACATAGTGATGCTACCTGCTTAATGTTGTACTAGTATAATTATACCCTGTACGTTGATGGAAAATGATTTTAAGAAATTAATGTATATCATATAAGTCTGTGTACATGTAAATTGTAAATTATAACTTTTGTAGATGTCAACAAAACAATTTTTTCATGGAAAATATCTAAGCTATAACATAAACATATTTGCAATATAAACAGTTATATAAGGACTTTGAAAAGTCAGTGTAACCTTGATCTTGATCCGAGGAATCCTAAATCTGCGGTCTGCAAATCATCGCTTTGTTAGTAGTATTAATATTTCTGCCAAATATATTTAATTTTTTACAGTCGGTTTAAAAGATACAGAGCGGACACAAAATTAGTACACTTTGAATAAATGTGACCTTGACCTTGATCTGAGGATGGTCAATCATGCGTACTTGCACATCGTCTTATTACGGTTAGTTTTTCAGCAAATTATGATATAAGTTTGGTCAGAAAGGTCTGGGTTGACATGTTTATTCAAATTGCGAAGTAGCTTTCGTCGAGCTGTGTCGAATTGAGTACACTCGAAACAAGTATTGTGCATCCGGAAGCAATACGAGCACATTCGTTTTGGATTTAGTTTGGTTCGTCTGATTTACATTTTGATCAAGTATTGGGCGTATAAAGGATAAGTAAACTGTCTCTAATGATTTTCTATATATGCAGAATTTAAGAATTTAAGTTTTCTAAGGATATTTGTTTATTTCTTCTAAAAGGTTTTGATCCAACGGCAAAATTATGTTCTAAATTTTCTCAGGATATTTGTTTATTTCTTCTAAAAGGTTTTGATCCAACGGCAGATTTATGTTCTGAATTTCATCTACTACAGACACACGAAATTTACGTTCTGTTACAAAACTGTCAGCTGAACCCCGAACAAAATCTTCATATTGTTCCAAATAAACTTCGAAATCGTATGTTTTGTCATGGACTATTTTCTCAAAAAAAGATAACAACACATCCCGATTAGACTTAAAAATTGACTTTAAGGCTAATTTGACAGATTCGAGTTTCAAAAAGTAATTGTCTTCTTTTCTAAACAATAATGTCCAGAATGTTACTTTTCCCTTCTTAGTCGCTTTCGAATAGGATAAAAGAATGTGCTCCCAAAGAGCTATAACAATTGCTGACAGTGACATCGTTGAATACTGTTGATTTTCTTTATATGCCATTTCTATTGTTAGACATTTCAAGTGGTAACTACTCAAGTAAAATCTGTATGGTTCAGTTTTATCATCACCGAAAAGAATCATATTCAACGGCTTTTTCATGTCTTTGAGTATTTGATAAGAAAGAAATATTTTTGGTTGCGTTTCTTCAAGATTTTTTATTAACTGGTTTTCATCATGTGGTAGAGTAAGACTGAATGTGTCGTTTTCTGTAAAAGCTGTGTTCAGTATCATATTACCATCAGAAATATAAAATAAAAATCTGCCAGTTGGAATATGAGATAGGAAAACTGGTTGCTCTGATTTTTCTAGGATTTTCTTATAAGGGCTATGCGAAAATATGTGAGTTGCCTTTGATCCTGGCAATGATATTACTGGTATGAGATCAACAGAAATTTGAAGTTTATGTAAGGAGTTTACTTCCAAACAGAACGACAGTGTTGCAACAGGTGCATTTAAAAACACTTTACAATTAGGGAGTGCAGACACACATTTGCGTACATTACGTATGAAGTAATCAAAAAGTCCAGACGGTGATATTTGATATGATCCGTTTCTGTTTTTCTTACCTGTTAGTATCTTTCTTTTTCTCAGTTTTTTTACAAGTTTGCCATTATACCAAAGATTGATTCCACCCAAAATTGTGCCTTCAAGTTTTATGTTGCTTACGTCAAAATGAGGCCAAATGAAAACGAAATCAAATTCATTAGAGTTTCTTATTCTAGTATGCTCTGCCATACTTCCGACTAAACGGATATGACTTTTCACGGTCGATGTGTTTAACTGAAAAACATGATTACTCTTGAATGATTCAAATATAATAATTGAAACAATGTCCAATATTTTGCCTTTTATTGCTGCTATCTCATCGATCGACCAGCGGCTCTGTAAAGCAAGTTCTTTCCAATACAAGTCTTCAAAAAATCTGTCAAGTTTCTTTATATCTGTTTAGAAAAGTAAAAAATAAATCTTCACAAGTCATGTTTTTTTTTCAGAATTAAATATCTAATTATAAACAAATACTAGATAAAACACTGCATCATACATGTAATGATGTAAATGATACAGTGGAAACTCACATTGAATGTTCATATTCAGTTAACCTTATGTTGCAGATTGTCAAGATAGGATATGTTCTTGCATGCTTCGTTACTTTTAGTACAATTGGTAAAGATCGAAATCAGGCAATCAGGCACTTTTTCACCCCTCAAACACAATCACTCTTTATAGTTTCTATAGAATGTTGCAAATATATATAGAATGAAAAATACACTCGACCGTGAGAAACGCAATTGATTTTTCAGTAAGTTAAGTCTGATATCCATTGAGAATTCTTCAATTTTAGAGAACCATAAATGTAAATTAATAACATGGAAATGCAAGTACAATTTAGTGGTTTCACCACGTTTTATCAGAGACATTTAAACGAACCTTATGAACCTGTGTTAAACAGTGATCTGGAATTAATTTTTACAAATTTATGTGCATTGCACAAAGCTATTATCATTGTCGGCAATGACATTTCTGTATGTGGATGGTTTATTCAAATGACATTTATAATATCAGACATTTGAAAAGGTAACTTTTCAAATTAAGTGCGTATGGCAGGGCTCTATTTTCATCATAAACAGACATTCTCCATTGTGTCTTCACATCTTTCATAACATATGATCAGTTTTGGTTGCATTTTTGCAAGATAGTTTGTCAATTTGGTTTCAACATGCGGCAGAAAATGTTTTACTGTGAAAAAGCACTGTTATCTATGTAACAGTACACATGTCTTAGTCACATGGTGCACTTGAATTAACAGTAAGAATAACTCCCATTTGCCTATTGGAAATAAACATTACAAAAATAGTGATTGGTAATAAACAGAATGTTCGCTTGAGAAAAGTAATGTCATCCGATGCGAAAAATCATTATATTTAAGGTAGACATATAAGAATATTTGGAAAAAATGTTGATCACTTTTATATGTTGAGCGCATTTATAACGAACATGACGTTAATTTTACCGTTTTTAATAACAGCAAAAAATAATGCCAACTTTTATCACTGTGGACAGTGACAGTTTTGTTTGTGGTTGGCTGAATTGAAATGGCATTTCTAATACATGACATTCCATGTGGTGTTTTCAGGCAAAATCAGAATTTTCTTAATAATCTCTTTTCGATTCAACTCATCAAAATCATGTTTAATTTTCTGTTAAAATATGCAACAAGGTTTTAAATAGATTTGTTTGCATTATACTAGATTTAAAGCAATAAAAAATTCTGTTTTTTATATACTTACCTTCTTTGCAAATCTTCTTTACAGCAAGTTTGGAATATAAAACCACAAGGGAAACGATGCAAAGGATTACTACAATTGCTGGCTAAAGAAATAGACATAGCCGACTTCTTATAAGCATTATGACTTAAGTCAATTTATTGTTTAAATATTTATATTACAGTATAATTTTCACACTGTTGTTTGAATGTTTCGAAAAAAAGTACCATATCACCATTTATTGTCAAATTATTTCAATAATTTGTTTCTTTTTTTTTGTTTTCTCTTCTTCATTGATAGACAATTCAATTCTGCAAATAAAGATTTTGTGTGTATTTTTTACACAACAGAACCTTTGCTGAAGAAACATTGCCACTTGTAGCTTATGATTCTTTATTGTTTTAATTTCATTTTACAGATAATTTTCCAACTAGTTATTTACAGTTATATAAGGCGGGTATGTATTTCTAACCATCGTTCCTGAAGATTTACATAAAGTACGTAAACAATACCATTCCCCAGCAAACTACCAAAGCATTTTTCTCCCTGGGATAGACTCCACGCAAAAAGGTACTGGTTAGAATTCATCGACAATCAAACCCTTCGACCACGGAGGCGGTCTAGTCACTTATTGAATAAGCTGATAAAAATGCAATTGCTTTAAAAGCTTCAGAATACTTACATAAATATGTTCGACATATCTATATATCCACAGCTTTGAATCAAAACCAATAGTGTTTTTTGCTACAAAAAAAAAAAGAAAAAAAAAGAAATGCATTAAGGGATGAGTCAAATCCGCAGATATTGTAATTTTACTAAGAAGTGTAAATGTAACCATACAGTCAAATTACAAAAAAAATATTGTATATTTATTCTGTTAATTCAAAGCAGATTTTAAAGAAATTTCTTGTAAGTATGAAATAAAAACAAGATTATTGTGAGATATCGTGCGTACTATAAGTTGGTGAAGTCAGAAAGAAATAAGCTGCTCTTTCTGAAGTTGGTAAACATTTCAAAGCGGCTGGTATTAGAAATACAAGATTTGTTTGGTACAAAAACAACGAGACAGCAAGAACAGAAATAAGACAGACCTGTAACGAAAAGAAAGTAATAATTTAACAAACATACTTAATAATGATAATTAAATAAGAATTACACTTCTTTTAGTATGGTTAAATGAACATGTTGTATCGTGTGAATAGTGAACAATTCCTATTGTATGATGTTCATGAAAATATAATTCAATTAAATATTTTGCTAAATATTTTTATGGAATATCTTTTAGGGTGATTAAAGTCACAGAATGATTATAAGGAACACACATTTTAAAAAATGTAGTTAAAAGAAAAAAATAGTTTTGACCAACAAACTGTTTTCTTTAAGTAACAAAATGGCATTACTTCATCACACATTTGAATAAAGATAGCATTCAAGAGTCGACATGCCCTCATCAACAGAACTCAATATCAACAACAACAACAACAACATAACGTTTATTCATGTAAGGCTCAAATATCAATGTAGATTAAAAACTAGCCAAATTCATAAACAAATTTTAAAAAGATAGATATATATTTAAATAAGGCAATAGTGATGTATAATTTATGTAATAAAATGATATTTTTATCAGCTGTTGACTTTGAGAACATTAATTTAAATAAAAAGCTATTTGTTGACTCGTTTTCGACTATAACTTATCAATAAGTTAGAGCACAGCTTGTAAAGATGAATTAATATATCCTGAAACAAATGTGTTTAGCTAGTATTCAAGACATCAAATACCTTCCATTTTGGGTATTCAGTGTTACCGTCATTCTGTTGATTTTGTGCGATAGAATCAGCTTTACGATTCGGGCTTATCTGTATACTTTCCGCGTTAGAATGACCATCATCATTCAAGGTTTCCTGCGTGTTGTCCATCTGATCTAGATGTGTCTCTATGTATGACTGTATTTCAGGACATTCTAATAAGCGAAAAATACCACTATGATTTTAAGTTTTATGTTAGCTAAACTTTACGGTATTATGGAAATACAGTACAAACTTAATAATCCAGAAAACTTGTTTAATGTTATATCGGTTATAAAAATCGGTTGATAATGATGATTCTTTAAAACTGTGGATATCTTAATTTGAAAGAAAGCAAAAGATTTATCAAGCAAACGTTTTTTCAATGAACATTGTAATAAATTGCATAGTTTACTTGTTTTCTTGGTACTTTTGAATTTTGCTTTATCAAATCAACCCAAAGGGAAATTATTCTGACTAGTTTCATTCGATTTGGCTATAATTGCTGCATATGAGTTTTTTTCCCATTGATGTCTTGTGAGTAAACTAAACATTCTGAATACTATATTTTGTCTGAGAAGAAAAGAATGTTACAATGTACGGCCCACACATTCCTCTTGTGTTTTCTTATTTCGGACATGAAAAATGACTTTTAAAGTATAATATGATTGTCACTTTATAAAATTTCTGGCGTGCAAACCTCATGATTCTTTCTATGTATGTTTGTGTTTATTAAAAACGTTTTAACAAATAAGAATCCCAAAGAACCTTATTGGCTCCTCTTGAACGCCTCCAGCCCATAGATCTTTTTACAATACAATGGGTGGCGTTAAGGGAGCACATTATAATTATAAATATCAGTTACGTTAATTGATATAAATAAATAACAACGGTAATCCTGGCAACAAATTGCACATTATTTACATTGTGTACCTCTTAATATATTCAATGCATCAACAAAAAGAGCAAACGGGTCGAACACACATGCAAACAACTGGATTTTACATACTTTTAAAATGGTTTTCTTCCACATGTGCATGGTTCTCCGTTCAGCTTTGTGTCAACGTATGTGAAACGGAAGGCGGATGTTACTTCCGGTGTGGCATGAATTTTGTCAGACCCGTTAGAAACGAATGACTTTATGTTCTGCGCATGCGCAGATAGTTGTCAGACGGGCCGTCAGATATGTAAGACTTTCTGGTAGAATTGTGTGTAAACCTCGTTTAGAAGCTCATTAATTAATCCTTCTAAAATTCCTTCTAAAATATATGTCTACCTGTAGAATATTTCTTTAAATACAGGCACATAGGACTAAGTGGAGCATAAGACCATTTAATAGGTTAGTAAAATCCAGTTGTTTGCATATGTATGAGGCTCATTTGATCTCTTTGTTGATGTATTTCAAGCGTAAATACCAGGGTATAATGTACATGTCATGACGATCTCATCTTTTGTACCTGGGTGATTTCTTACTTTCGGGCTTTACTGTGGTAATTTGCGTGTAAATAAGGACCTGTTCATAGTCAGTTTTGATAGAAAAATATATATTGCATTGATTCCATTGGAAAATCCGACGATATTACCACCCCATACAATAGAAGCCTGAATTAATCCCCTAGAAACCATGCATAAGCGTGATAACTCGTGTGTCGGCATGTCAACACAATTTAACGCGGCATGGCGCCTTCTATCATTGATTGGTGGGATATTAAAGACACTTGACAACGTCTGTTTCAATGCATGTCAACATATAATCTTCTCCGATAATTGCTAACGGGGTTAACCTAATTCATCTCGACAAGCCTTGTAATATATCTGCTTTTGGAAAATATCACAACGTCATAACATCATAGGTACTGTCGGAAAGACCTTATTGATATTCAGAAACTAAATGCCTCCCACCAAATAAAAACCTAAATACGTGTACATCGAATGATTCATTCTTTAAAGAACATATTTGTAGTACTATTCGCTAGAGACTTTGAAAGGTCATTGATCTGAGTATGTGCTTGTTTGTATATGCATGTTTATCTAACTAGGAATTTTACCAGATGATTAGTTTCAGTCAGTGTTTGCTATGCATCCTTCTATATTTTATATACTTATATACACTAAAGATAAGAAGAACGTTTAGATACTTTTGAAGGGAAATTTAACTTAATAGCCAAATGTACCATTTTGTGTATTCGTGTTGTGCATATGAAATTGAAAGGTTACCAAAACATTTTGAAAGGGGTTCAAATGTAGTTAGAATAATACATAACGAAACAAAATAGATGAATAATAAAAAAAAATAATTTTGTTAGAAATATTGTTGCCTAGAAGAATTTTTTGTCTGTTTGCTAGTGCGAAATGCACTACATTTTGTATATTCATTATTAAAGTTGAATTGTCCTTACACAGATGTTTATAAGTCTAAATAATGGTGTCTATGATAGTTTCTTTCATAATAACACTTATTCATCAATTATGTTTGTAACTTAACTGATATACTGTCATTTACATAGTTATCATTTGTCTAGACGGCCCTCACATGGAACCCATTTGTACTTTACTTACATAATAATATGACGTTTACAACCGCAAATAGGCACATATATGTGACTCTGATACTGCCAATCAATAGTTAATTTGTGGCATATAAATAGAAAGAATTGTTTACAGCAAAATATTTAAAGATGTTCGGACGTGTTCGGACGTCTGTGTTATTGTGTCCCTCTGCATTTTACTGTTGCAGTATATTCAGCAATCAATTGAATACAAAATGTACTAATTATTGTGTAATTTGTTATCATATAAAGGATTGTTGATATATCTAACATATATACTGTTATTTGCCAAGTTATTCAATATAGTATATACAATATAAGAGAACAAAACGGCAGATTTTGCTGTCAAGTGAAAATTTTCTTTCAATGGTAGGCAAATATATGTTTAATAGTAAATGTAAATCATTGTTATATTGATACGATTTATATATCAAACACTTACTGAAGTATTCTGTCTGGTTTTACTGCCCGCCAGGTAGATCAAAGACTACTTAATGCACTTCAAATGCGAGGATATGCATAAAACTATTACATGTATATGTTTGTATAACCTTCAAGACAGTCATTGAAAATTTTCGCCGAAAGGTTATTTAGAGAGCGCATATGTAATTTAACTAGTTCTTTCACAGGAAGGTTATTTAACGAAATGCTCTGCTTGTATTGTACTTATCTCAATTGACATATAAAAGATCGAAAATAAACATCAGACTGATACACTTTAAAGCCAAAATTGTTTTCTTAATAACGTATGGTTCAAAACATTTAGTTTGATAATGAAATCAACGATATAGTTATGCAGTTCGCCAATCATTACCCGATGGGCGGGATTTAGTTTCCGAGTAATAATTAGGACGTTCAAATGGTTCCCGTCCCCTATTATAAAAGACAAAAGTAACGTCGACATGCTGTGATACAGGTATTGTCAAGATTCTAATTTTTACCATCAAAACCATGGTAAAACACGCCATGTCGCACTTATATATGTCAACATGACCGCATATAAATTATCACGGACCATGGCATCTCGGGGGTCAATTCAAGCTTCCATACCACCCGGTGGAAGATTTTGACACCAAGAACAGACATACCCATAATTTTATACTCGGATGTTGCATATCTTGTCTATAACAATATAACACAAGAAAAAAAATATATTCATTTTTTTTAAATATAAAAATGTATTGATATTTTATTACACGAATAACAATATGAAACATATTTTAGGTAGAATCAATTCGACTAGCACCTTTTAACAATATTCATGTTTATATTGAAACTCATGGTAGTTTTAGATAACATTAGACAACGCCTTTTTCATTTTACTGTCTAACTGTCAGGTAACAGTTTGTTTTTATACCGCTGCTATTTGACCAATCATAATCTGAGGAAGCGGTGTCTTCCATTTAGAGTTCCTACATCAGTGTATCATATAGTCCAAATTTGAGCGTCCTATCTGCAGATAGCCATGGCCGTACCCAGTACCTTCTTGGCCTCCTTCTGCACCTCCATCTGTTAACAATCTGTGCAATTTCAATTTCAACCAATATTTTTTCTTGATGACGTAAAGCCAGATGAATCACATCAGCATTAAAACGTCCGTTCATGTTTGAAGTTTGGAAGTAAATGAAAACAATTTTTTGAAACCAAACTACCTCAACTTAAAATCGTGTCATCCGAAACATACAAAGTTAAACATTCCTTTCAACCTTGCGTCAAGAATCATAACTATAGTAAGAGGAGAAACACTGCAAGAAAAGCGCCTCTCAGAACTAACTACAAGACTTAAAAATCAGAATTACCCAGATGAAATTATTACATACGGAATATCTAAAGCCAAATTGAAAGGTCCCATCAAAACTGAAGAAAACATAACAGCTAACAACAAGTACAACGTTATCCCATGTGTAACAACATTTAATCCCAAAAATACCAATATTTCCCAAGCAATTCGATCTTGTGAGAATGTGTTACGAAAAAGTGAAAAGATGAACAGTGTTTTAGAAAAGAAGCGCATTATAAACAGTAAAAGACAAGCAAAAAATCTTCAAAACATCTTAACCTCTTCAAAGTTCGACATGACAAATAATACTGTAACAACAGTTTCTAAATGCAACAGGAGTAGGTGTAAGACATGTCCTTCTCTAATAGAAGGAAATGAAATACAATTTTGTAACAGTAAGACATTTAAGATAAAACAAAGTATGAACTGTGTTTCAAAAAATGTGATATATTCAATAATTTGTGACAACTGTAAACAGTTTTATATTGGCCAAACAAAAAATGAATTATGTAAACGTATGACTTTACATAGGCAACAAACAAACACTGAAGAACTCAGAATGTTACAAGTAAATAAACATTTACATAATTGTTCAGGAGGTAAATTTAGCATTTTCCCTCTACATAAGATATTAATCGAAAGTGATAATTTTAGAGAAGAAAAAGAAAAACTTTTATTCAAGTTATTAAAACCACAACTAAATGCTCATTGTTAAAAATCATTTAACAAGGTATATATATACAAGTACTTCATATTTATTACAATCTCTTCATTTTTAATTATGAAAGAAATGATTGCGATTTTATTCAGTCCAATTGTTCGTTTATTTAGCAATATTTATTGAGTAAAAATTGTTAATTACCATACAATTTGTGGCCATAAAATCATTAACTTGTGAATTTTATTACCTCCCTTTAATAAATGTCATTTATTCACTGCCAGATTGTTCGGATTATGCTCAATGTCCGTATTCTCTATTTTTCAGTATAAATAACCATATTGTGTTTGCCGGGAAATACGTTTTCATTTAACGTTCCCGCTTTTTTTTGTGACGTTACGTCATTTGTTTATATGTTTATTAAAGTTTCGGCTGAAGATATGCAAAGAAAGCATTGAAAGCGCTACCGATTTTACATATAGAGTTTGTTATTTCTTAAACATTATAATTTTATATATATATATATATATATATATATATATATATATATATATATATATATACAGTCACATTCCTCCATTTACGGGGCATCGGTCTATTTGAGACCATACTTGTGGGGTTTATATTTAATGTGGGGCATATATAAGGCCTCGCAACTCTGGCATGTTTAAAACGATGTATGGGGGCGTAGGCTACCCTTCTAACATAGTGCCCGTAGGCCGGTTTTAGTAGTAAATGATATATGTCCCACAAATGTATATATTTTTAATGGGGTTTTATGTTATTGGTCAATATGTTTTCACCTATGGTAAAATCAAATATATAGTTTATATATATAACTTAGTACCCCTTAGTTCTGTTGTATGGAAATGTTCATTATAGGCCTATATAGTGGCGTATATAAAAACTGACGGCATGAAATAATGCCACTCAACTCGGTCCTATATATGGGCCCCTTAAGTGAAGGTATGTGTGAATATATATATATATATATATATATATATATATATATATATATATATATATATATATCATCGCAAAAACGTACCAGAAGCGTACTACAAGCATGATATGATCGGCACCGTCGTAGCGATATCGTTGTACAGTCGTCTACGTCTGCGTAGCGTCGTAGTGCGAGCTTGAATGTCGTAGCGGCAACGAAGTATAAACGCAGTAAACGCGGCCGCTGGTCGGCGTCGGTCAGCGTAACATCGTAGTAGAAGCGTGTCAGCAACGCGTTTGACGTGGGAACATCGTAGTACAGTCGAAATGAAGACCAAAATTTGCCAAATTGCTCGATTTTGACGCCGATCGGCCCCAATCCAATACTTTTTCAGATCGTGGCTTGATCGGCATGATCGTCCTAAAGTCGCAGCTCTGTGTGGGGCGTAAGTGTTGACTTATGCATTTAAGTCTAGATTTGCCAGTGTAAGTCCCGAATTGTTTAATTCATATCTATTGATATGAACAGAAAATGGTAACACAATCGGCAGGTGTAAACATCAATCAGGCATTTTTTTTCGGATATAAGGAGGTCGATAAATTTAACTTCAATCAATTTTATTTCTTTCCCTGTTATACGAAAATGTTTTACCTCTTAGAAATGTTACATGATTTACAAATCAAGCAACGTAATTAATACATTAAATCTGTATTCATTAAAAAGATATTACTATATTAGTTTATTTAAAACAAAAGAAAAAAAATGTTTAATTTTAATACATTTCAATTGTACAGAAAGACAACATTCGCTTGTCAGCAACAACAACAATAAGAAGTTAATGCTATCAGTATTCCTAAAGTATTTAAAACATTAATTCAAAATTCGATTTGAATCTTATAGAACAACAAACCTTAAATGATTTCTTACCAGCTTCTGATATCTAAACACCATGAAGTTACGTAAATACTCCAGAATATCGGTTTAAAACATCGTTTTCTGAAAAGAGAAATTTTAAAAGTCTGAAAATGTCACCACAATATATATTTGCATCACAAATAAAAAATAATATTTTTTTTTTCAATTATCCAGAGACTAAACTACTTTCAGCTTTTATTCGTACCTTTTTTATATCATAAAAGGCATGACTATTTCCATTTCGTATCATTATAATTATGTTAATCTTTCAACGAGAATAAAATATAATCTATTCAGTCAACTGCATGACTGCTTCTCTCTTTTAACAATGGATTTGAAATCGTCGATCAATACACATACAATACGCTTTTAATATGATATGCTAGATCATTAACATACTCTATGAGAGGTTTACTTTCAAAAGTTTCAAAAACAATATAAAGGAGCGAAAATATAAAAAAAATATCCCATTGAATCACACACAATGTAGCGCATTGTTGAACTGAATCAAATATTAAAGTTTCACTGCAGAAATAACCAATATATGTTTTGGTCTAATTTGGATTGAAATGTTCTTCATCTATTATATCTTATGTATTAGTTATAAACATCGTTTGAATATATTCTACCAGAAGAAATACTTCTTGAAAACCTTGATATTTTGATGAGAAGATTTAAAACAAAGTCTTTGGAACTTCTTGCACCAAAAGGAAGGTTAGCGATGGATCAGACTGCAAAATGTAAGACTGAATGACGATGACATGATGACATGCATAAAGTTATATTAAAGAGGAATTTTCTTGAATATAATGATAAGGACCAATGATCAATTAATTCAGATATTTCATTCTACATCACTTGACATTTACTTGATAAGCTTTTTGCAACGACATTTCCCCCTCTGGTTGATTTTATTAAATTGTACTTTTTCAAAATAAATAAAAAAAAAGCAGAGAAGCTGAATCATATTCTTGTTGCTACAATAAGACAATAGTAACAAAGTAACTAAATCAGGCATTGCATAAATCATAATGTAACTGACAACGTTTGACCAATATTTCATTAGAATCTTTTGGTTGTTGTATATCTACCAGCTTGTCTTTCGCAAATTCCTTGAACATTATGTTGTACCTGGATATATAAAACTACTTGCAAACCAGTTTATCTTATTCAAGAAAGGCAAAGAATAGCCATGCATTATTATAATTATCGAGATGAAAGTAAAGCAGCTACATTTGACTCCAGACAGACCTCATAACTAGTATCAATTACACGTGAAAATATAAGATTTTTTCTCTAGGTTATCGTAGGAAAGAACTCACAGAACAACTTGTAAATACTTTTTTTTTGTTAAGATATTTAACTTTAAAGAACAGATTTTTTTTAAATTTCCAGAAAGCTTTTAATAATTATTTTGTTTTGATCGGTACGTAGTACTATATTGATTAAATAGCTATTGCAGTGTAAAATTAAAACATGTATTATCCTATTGCATTGTGTAAATGCGATACGGAATGAAATGTTTATCTACAAAGAACAAGGGAAAAACCCCGATGTACTTATACTACTGTCGTTTTTCTTTTTACTTTAAAATCAGTTCGTCGATATCAAGACACTAAGTTGACATAATAGGAGATTTCACGAATTGTCAGTGGTCGAGAAGTATTGGCCATTGTCTGATGTCAACAAATATACAAAACTTCTACATACAATTCTGGTGAAATCGGAACAAAAGATAAAAAAGAACAACTAAAAAGAAAACAAAAAATCAGCATATTCCTCGAGAGCGCAACGACAGCAATAATAAAATAAAATTTGCAGACACTGTTTGACTAGGTCTTTTTATGAAACGGTTCAACATCTCTCGTTCTCAAAATAAAATTATGGGTTTGTTAAAAATGTTCATCATATTATTTTTTTATTCTCATGAAAATGTAAATGCATAATGTATATGTTTTGTAATGAAGAAAACGATACATTCCATGTTGAAACAGGTTTAATTACCGTACATATTTTTAGTTTTTTTTTTAAATATTCTTTCTGTCGAATTAAAACGATACTGTATGTAATATATCTTCACTAAATGTCTTTGTAATGGTTTGAAACGTTTGTTTTTGGCGTTCGTGAAAATAAGCAATTATCTCTATTTTATTGTCACATCAGCGATGTTTGTGTCGTGTTGAGGCTGTAAAAGTCGCCCGTACACCCAATAA